CCTCCGCCCGCCGCATCGTTCCCCTCTGCTAGCGACCCCTGAAGGCTCAATTTTTGGAGACCATCGTCCGGAGTCCTCGCACTCCTTCCGCCTCTGTCCATCGTGGACCACCTCCTCAACTTGGACCACAAAGCTCGCCCCCTCCATGGATGCCATCGACCCGAGCACTAGAAAGCACGGGTGCCCCTTCTCCACTCCACTCCATCATTCTCTTCTGTGCAACATCTGGAAAGCTCAAAATGATTTCATCTTCGAAAAGAAAGAATGGTCCCCTTTGCAGGTGCTTTATGCTACGAAGGCTTTGCTTAATGCAGGAGTAGATGACCCTCTGGATAGAGCATCGAATGAACTGACTTTACATTCATCTAATAAATCGGATCACCCCTCTAATCACTTTCAGATCGCGCATCCTAAAGCTTTTGTTGATGTGTCCTTTAATCCTTCCATGGCACGGAATATGGCAACAATTGGAGTTTTCTTAAAAGAATAGGAGTCCTCTCATCATTCTCTCTTTATCTAGGCAATCTCTTTGGATACAAATTCTATTTTGTAGGCCGAAGCTTTAGGGCTTTTATTGGGGGCCTTAATAGCTAACGAACTTGGATGGAGAGATATCAAATTCCTTACAGATTGCAAAACACTAGCAATTGCGGTTGAGGTCAAGAACATTATTTCTGATCCTGGCATTGGAGCATGAGACCCACTCTTGCAGATTTCTTTCTTGCTTCTTCTGATTCTTAAGCTCTAAAGTTATCCATATCCGTAGAACTCTTAGTCTAGTTGCTCATTCTCTTGCTAAAAGGGCTTTCAAAAAATAGAGCAGCTACTAGTTTTGTTTATCTTTGTACCAAAGGATCAAGATGTAACTCTAAAAAGGCTTTACCGAAATAGGCTTACGCCCCGCTATATTGATATAGCAACCACCCGATACAACATTCCGATCAACGCTGGGGCAAACAACACAAGCACGCCCAAAAGAAATAACAAGAGAAAATAAAAGAAGAAATGCCAACAACGCCGGATCAACGAAAGCTACGGCACACCGCGACCGCTGTGCCCACCGAAGATAACCACCACGCTCCAAAGCCACCGAGTTGCCGTGTACCAAGCACCACCTTCAAGAAGGAATGCGACGATGACGACGCTGCTGCCCAGACGAATCTTAGGATTTCTTCCGGTACACGGAGGGTAGAGGGGGAAGAGGGTCACCTGACACCCTTCAAGAAGGATGGCTTTTGAAGGCTTTTGAAACCGTCAACCTTTCTAAGGGGAGGTTGTTATCTGTACACAGTTTAGGATGTTAATAAAATGTACTAGTCCTCCCTGGAGGACTACAGTTTGACAAAAAAGGTGTGTGTATCTTTTATACATAAGAACACATCAATTTTTTTTGATAATGACTCTAATGACTATATTCAAAACTTTTTTTGTTTCCAAAACATTGCAAATTTTAGCGATTTGCCATGTTCTTCACAATTAGATACCAATTTTTTTGTTAGCAGGGCTGGTTTTAGAAAGAAAAAAAATGTTATTCGCACATGGTTTTATTAGTTGCCATGGTTTTAGAATAAATTGGCAAATTTATGTTCATTAAATGGCTCCGGCAAGAGATGAGGCCCGACGAGCGACCGCCTCTGCCGCGCATCGACGCCGACCCCGGCGACCTCACCAGGAACAAGCTCCAGGAGCAAGAGCTCCCTGCACACATCCTCCTTAGTTCCCGGCATAGAACCGAGGGAGATCACCACCAGCCACCAAGAAGAATCCTGCGCCTGCGACATTTACCGACAGTGTTTTTTCTCCAAAATAGCTTTACAAAAAAACAGTTTGCCATGATATTGGGTATTATTTTGTTGCCATTATATGTGTAGTTGCCCTGATACAAGTACTTTTTCTCCTTATTTTCCATTATCTACACAACAAATTTTTCCTTGATATTTATTTGTTTAAAAAATCATTTTCCTAAATTTTCCATGCCAATTTAGCTCTTTTGCAAATACCGTGGCTTTTTTTATCAAACTTAGCCATGCAAACAACTTCTTCCATGATAATAGGTAGTAAATTTGCAATGATATGTATAGTTGACATGATACAAGTACTTTTATCCACATATTTGCCATGATATACAGAATTAATTTTCCATGATATATTATTGTTTTACAAAATTCATTTTTCTAAATTTTGCCACACAAATATGTAAAATCTTTTTGAATGATCACATGCCAATTTAGCCCTTTTTTGCCAATACATGTTTTTTTTTCAAACTTAGCCAATGCAACATTTGCATTGATAATAAGCAGTTCAATTTCCATGACAATTATAGTTGCCCCTACACATGTACTTCTCTAACCACATTTGCCATGATTTTTTAGACCATGGCAAATTACTTTTTTGGACCATGGAAAATTCTTTCTTTGGACCATGGCAAATTTACTTTATGGATCATGGAAAATTTACTTCATGGAGCATGGCAAAAAAAATTGGACCATGGCATATTTACTTAACAACCCATGGTATATGTGACATCCCGAGACTGTTGCGCCAGGTGTCTTTCAGTTATTCGCTGTTGTTGCCTTGTCTTTTGCTTGCGTGTTGCATCTTGTCATGTCGTCATCCGCATTGCATCATCATGTTTTCGAAACTTGCATTAGTCTGGGTCTCCCAGTTCCATCCGTTGTCTGTTCAGAGTCCAGACACATTTGCACGCGCCCGCGACACGTTCGAAATATTATTTTATAGGTGGCCGGAATATGTTCTCGGAATGGGATGAGAGTTGGCGTGCGATCTTATTATAGTGTAGATAGGCCGCCTGTCAAGTTTCATCGCATTCGGAGTCCGTCTGATGCCCAACGGATAACTATAGCGGCAATATAGCCGGTCAATCGTCGGGCGTTTTCGGTCTTCGGAAACAGACGCCGGGCCTCTCTCTCACTCTTCTCTCCTCTCAGCCCGAGGCCTTCTGCATAGCACACAAGCTCCAACCTACCCCTCTTCGCGTCCGGAGTCGTTCGATGCGATCGCACGGTCCGAAAACCCCTCTCTGCTCAGTTCTCAGAACCCCTCGCGCGTCCGAAAACCTCCCCGAACCCGACCGGGCACTCGTGTCCGTTGAGTCCGGATCGTCACCCAACATCCCCAAAACGTCTTTGTTTATTTGTTGGACTCGTCCACTCTAATTTTCTCGACCGTCTG